CTGCCGGCCCCCCCCCTTTCCCTGCTCCCCCAGCCCCCCCACAGCTGCCACCCTGTCCCAGCTCCTGGTGCTTTAAAAAAAAGCCCTGATTCACCAGGTGCTGCCAGGTAGGGGGGTAATTCTCCACTGCCCCCCACTGCCCCATGCTGTGTGGGGGTCTCTGCACAAGCCCCCCACCCCAGCTGTCCCAGGCCCCCCATGGCTGCCCTGCTTGCCCCAGCTCTGGCCCTTTAAGAAACCTCCCCCCCCCCCAAACCCCACCCCAGGACTTCTGCAGCTGCCTTGGGGCTTTGGGTGCCTTGTGCAGATCCCCCACATAGCTGGAGGCAGCAGGGATCGCCCCTCACCAGGCAGGAACCAGTGAGTTTTGGGGTTTTGGAAGCGGTGGTTTCTTAAAGGGCTGGAGCTGGGGCAGGAGGGACAGCCATGGGGTGAGGGGCTGGACAGTGGGGTGGAACTGGGGGGCTTGTGACAGAGCCCCCCATGCAGCATGGGGCAGTGGGAGGCACCTAGTGAGTCAGGGCTTTTTTTCAAAGTGCCAAGCTGGGGTCAGCAGGGCAGCCATTGCAGGGCTGGGGGAGCAGGCAGGGGATGGACCTGGCCTGGCTGATTCGGCCGAATCGATTTGGGAAAGTGATTTGAATCACCGAATCAAATCACTGTCCCCTGAATCGCCTGAATCCAAATCCAAAGCGAATACTAGCTGCTTTGCACAGGCCTACTGCTTTGCGAGAAAAGGGTTGTTGGTTTTATTGGACACCCTAGTAATCCATTTAGTTTTTTTAGACTTGGTGGTGGCTCGAGCCAAGGTAAAATATATTTAGTATCCCTGAAATTGAACCTGGCCCTTGTTGCTGCTGACAGGTGCTCAGCAGAAGGGTCACATTACAGTCCATTCATACAACTCATACTTCCTTAGCTTACTTGCAAGAATGCTGTGGGAGACCATATTGAAAGACTTGCTAGTTAAGGCATAGCACATCCAGTGCTCTCCCCGCATCCACAGAGCCAGTCATTGCATTATAAAAGACAATCAGGTTGGTCAGGCATGATTTGCCTTTGCTGAATCCATATTGACT